CACGGATGAAAGCAGGTTCACACTGAGCACATGTGACAGACTTGACAGAGTCTGGAGACGCCGTGGAACGTTCAGCTGCCTGCAACATCCTCCAGCATGACCGGCTTGGCAGTGGGTCAGTAATGGTGTGGGGTGGCATTTCTATGGGGGACACACAGCCCTCCATGTGCTCGCCAGAGGTAGCCTGACTGCCATTAGGTACCGAGATGAGATCCTCAGACCCCTTGTGAGACCATATGCTGGTGCGGTTGGCCCTGGGTTCCTCCAAATGCAAGACAATTCTAGACCTCATGTGGCTGGAGTGTGTCAGCAGTTCCTGCAAGATGAAGGCATTGATGCTATGGACTGGCCCACCTGTTCCCCAGACCTGAATCCAATTGAGCACATCTGGGACATCATGTCTTGCTTCATCCACCAATGTCACGTTGCACCACAGACTGTGCAGGAGTTGGCAGATGCTTTAGTCCAGGTCTGGGAGGAGATCCCTCAGGAGACCATCCGCAACCTCATCAGGAGCATGCACAGGCGTTGTAGGGAGGTGATACAGGCACATGGAGGCCACACACACACTACTGAGCCTCATTTTGTCTTGTTTTAAGGACATTACATCAAAGTTGGATCAGCTTGTAGTGTGTTTTTCCACTTTAATTTTGAGTGTGACTTAAAATCCAGACCTCCATGGGTTTAAAAATTTGATTTCCATTTTTAAATTTTTGTGTGATTTTGTTGTCAGCACATCCAACTATGTAGAGAACAAAGTATTTCAGAAGAATATTTAATTCATTCAAATTTAGGATGTGTTATTTTTGTGTTCCCTTTATTTTTTTTGAGCAGTTTATATCTCTCTATCTCTCTAAGTGTATTTTTTTAAATTAATATATACATATATTAGTGTAAAATTACACACGTGTGTGTGTGTGTATATATAACATATATAATAACTATATATTCTGTATATATTATAAAAAATAAATAATTAATTAAAAATACATTTAAAATTTAAAAATAATAAAAAATGCTTTAAAAAATGTCATTTTATCTTACTGTATTTTGATATTAATATATATTTATATCAAAATACACTTTGAATGAAAATATATATATATATATATATATATATATATATATATATATATATATATATATATATATATATATATATATATATATATATATATATATGCATATATAAATATATAGAAATAATACACAATATGTATATATAACCATATACATAATTACATAAATAATTTCATAAATATACACGTAGACTTCAAATTATATAAATATGTATATATATTTAAATTCTTCTTTTTTTTATTTTTCAATCTGTTTATTAGATTATTTTTCAAAACATTAGGTGATACAGAAAGAAAGGAAAGAGTAGTGTTTAAATAATGCTATAAGGTTCATAACGCTTCAAGATACATAGATCCGAGTGGGTAAGTTTTTCAGGTTGCTCCCCCTCATAAAACATCCACTTAAACATCGTGGATTAGGTGGCTGGGTGTGTTCATGCATTGGTGGTTGAACTCAATTTTGCATGACCTCTGGTTATCTGACTTGTTGCGGATCCCTGCGTCTCAATTAGAGGGTGAAGGGAGTATGTAGGTGTTACAATCTTATATTTTAGCCTCTGTACCTCCTTCTAACCTTCCCAGGTACCCCCTGCCTTTTCCCTGTGTCTGTTTGTTGTGTGCGCCAGACGTCCCGGTGTAGTGCGGGTCATGTGGGTTGCTCGTCTTCGTCTGCGGAGACTCGTCTGTTTTCACCACCTATTGTCTGTCATATATCATATGCCCTTGGGAATGTCGTGTATCTGTCTAACCCCTTCGGGTTTGGTGTGTTTGCCTCCAGTTCATGGACCCCAAGGGGGAGTCCCCATTGGGTGTCCGCAGTGAACCTCGCCTCCCGTTGATTAGGCGCCCGAAGGAGGAGTGAAATGCTGTGCTGATATCCCTAGTCGGGTTGTCTCTATTAGAGTATTGGCTGAGGATTGAGTGGTCAAAGAGGCTGGTGCGCTCTGTTAGGTAGGGTTGTTAGGTTAGCTAAGCTGTACAAGCATGGGGAAGAAATAGAGGGGAGAGGGAGAAGGTATGGTGAAATTAGTGATAGTAAGAAGGGGGGTTGAGGATTGGATTGCCCGGTCTCGCGGGTCGCCCCCATCCACCATGCCGCACGCGCGTTCAAGTCCCTCACTCCATCCCTTACCCGGCGGGTTGGTTTCCGAGGTCGTTCCTGTTGCATAGGTAGTACATCCACGATCTCCTCGTGTTTCTCCAGCCTGCCACTTACCGCCGCTATTTTGGCTTCATCTTGTCTGATCTCCTCCACTATCTGGAGCCAGGCTTGGAATGTTGGTGGCTGTTTCTGCCGCCACAGCACTGGGATCAGTGATTTTGCTGCCGTTAGGAGGTGTCAGGACACCGTTTTCTTATACCTCGATATGGGTAAGTCTGTTCTGTTGAGTAGGGTATCTGCAGGGTCAAAAGCAACCCACTCTTCAGGTACCTCTCGCATCGCCACGTATATTTGCTCCCAGTACGGTGTTATGAGTGAGCATGCCAAGAAAATATGAAGGAGAGTCCCCACCGCCCTCTCGCATCTCCAGCAGTGCTCAGGGACCTCTGGTTGGTATTTATGAGTCTTCTGTGGTGTTTCGTACCACTGAGTGAGTATTTTATAGTAGATTTCCTGATATTTGGCACATCGTGAGCTGAGGGACATGCACAGGGCTATCTTGTCCCATTCAGTTGGAGTATACGAGGTGTATAGTGCCTCTTCCCATTGCGCCTGTAACTTCATAGGAGGGACTGCATCCGCCTGCTGTAGGAGTGTGTGTAGAGGATCGATATACCTCGATGGAGGCCTCCACCCCTCGAGCAAGTTTCCTCAAATGGGAGCAGAGGTCTTGTAAGCTGTAGTTGGTGGGCAACCAACTCGTGGAAGTGAATCAATTGGTGATACCGAAAACGCTCAGTCATGGTTGGTTCGCGGTCTTGCAAGAATTCACTCAGGGGTAACAGTGTGTGTCCCCTGCAGAGTTTTGAGAGGCGTAAGTGTCGTCCCTACCCCAGGGCCCCTGCCTCCCATCCAGGAGGAAATGCTGAGTTGCCTGTGACTGGGTACATTGGTCCGGTTAGCATTGTTAGGGAAAGCCGAAACCTTCAGAGTTGCACCAACAAAGGGTTGTTCACGTATCAATTGTTTGGCTGTGTCATCCGGCAGCCATACCGCTCCCGGGATACCTCCCTTTGAAGCATCTTTCTCCAGCGTTGTCCAGATCCTCTGTGAGTCTGTTTCGTACCAGGCTACAATTCTCGACAGATGTGTTGCTTTGTAATAACCCACCATATCTGGTAGGCCAAGTCCCCCTTCCCCCTTTGGTCTCATCAGGTGTCCCAATTGTATACGTGGTCTACCCCCACTCCATATGAATTTTATCAGAGCCGAATTAAGGGATCGGAAAAAGGAGGGTGGGAGGTCAATCGGAATGGTCTGGAACAGATATAAGATTCGAGGGAGGGTATTCATCTTGATTGAGTTGATGCGTCCTGTCCATGAAAAATGCGGTGTAGTCCACGCTTTCATATCCGAGCAGAGGCGGGATAGCAATGGTTGGAAATTCAGTTGGTACAGCTGGTGTAGGTTCTTAGGGACCCAGACCCCCAGGTATTTGATGCGGTCTGTGCACCAGAGAAAGGGAAATTGTGACTTTAGATCGTCCAGATCTCGTGTTGGAGACGTTTCATTGAGCTCCTCAGACTTATCCAGATTGAGTTTGAAGTTGCAGTTGCTGTTTCTGTACGTTTTGAATTCGGCTAAAATATTCGGGAGGGAGATTCGCGGTTGCTCTATGTAGAGCAAGAGATCGTCCGCGTAGGCCAAGACCTTATGCTCCACTCCTGCAAATCGGAAACTATGGATCGAGGGTTTGGACCGAAGAGCACAAAGAAAGGCTTCCAGCGTGAGGACAAATAGTATGGGGTAGAGAGGGCATCCCTGCCGTGTCCCGTTCGTAATTTGTATTGGCGCGGAGAGGCCCCCGCTCACGCGCACTCTAGCCGTTGGTACAGAGTAAAGAGCCCGGATCCATTTGCAGAAAGGTTCCTCGAATCCCATCTTCTGTAGTGTGTTAAGCATGTATCGCCAGTCTACCCGGTCAAACGCTTTTTCTGCGTCTGTTGAGAGTATGACCAGGAGACAGCGCAAAGTTGAAGCTGGGTGCATTAGGTTGAGGAGCCTGATGGAGTTGTCCCTCGCTTCCCTTCCCGGTATGAACCCGCTCTGATCCGGGTGTATTAGGGACGGGAGGATTGTCTTCAGCCGGGTTGCTCGTATCTTGGCCAGTAGTTTGCAGTCGGAGTTGAGTAAGGAAGTCGGCCAATAGCTGGCACATTGTTCTGGATCTTTGCCTTCTTTGGGCAGAATGGGGATGTGGGCTATGAGTGATTCTCTACCTAACCTGTCGTCTTGCAATAACGAGTTAAATGAGGTTGTCAGCGGTGATAGAAGGACGTTGCCGAATTTCTTGTAGTATTGCAGTGGGAGGCCGTCTGGGCCTGGTGTCTTTCCCGTTTTGGAGGATTTGATTGCCCCCTGGAGTTCTTCTACGGTGATCTCCCGGTCCAAAGTGGATGCCACATCTTGTGAGATTGTCTTATGGACATGTGTCGAGAGGTACTCCTCCATCTTCTCGAGTTGTCTAGCGGAGAGCGCCGGTTCCGCAGTTTCGGAGATATTATAGAGCTTTATGTAGTAGGCATGAAATAGTTCTGCCATTTCAGACGGGTGTTCGGAGTGACGGGTGGGGCCCACGTGGAGTCTATGTATATGAAATCTCTCTTGCCATTTTTTTGTGCATTTTCGCCAGTAGTTGCCCACACTTATTGGAATGTTCGTAGAAGAAGCCCATGGACTTTTGTATCATGGAGAAATGTTGTTGAGTGATGAGCTTCGCTAGGTCCTCTCTGAGCGAGAGGAGCGCGCGTAGGTCTGAGTTACTGAGGGTTTGTTTGTGGCGTAGTTCCACAGTCGCAATGCCATCTAGGATGCTCCGTATACGTTCCACCCCAGCTCTCTTCTTGTGTGCTCCTATGGAGATGAGAACCCCTCGGATCACACTCTTGTGGGCCTCCCATAGTAGTCCGGCCTGTGTCTGGATTGGTGTTTTCCTTGAAGTAGTTAGTTAAAGCTTCTCGTACAGTGGTCCGTACCTCTTCATCCATAAGTAGTGACTCGTTCAGACGCCATGTTCGCTCCTTTGGTTTCAAGAGGGGGGAGGTCATCTGGAGTGACACCGGGGCATGGTCGGACCATGTGATGTGTCCGATGGTCGAGTCCTGGAGGAGAGACAGGTATTGTTGCGGGAGAAAGAGGTAATCTATTTTAGTGTACGAGCCATGCACTGCCGAATAGTACGAATAGTCCCTTGTCTCCGGATGTAGGGTCCTCCAGCAATCCACTAGGTGTAGTGTCCACAAGGCTTTCTTGATGCTTCGAATACGTGGATATGTGATCGCACTCCTTCCCCTGGACGTGTCCAATGACGCATTGAGGTCACCTCCCAAAATCAGTAGCCTCTCCGAGAAGTTTGCCAGCAGCCGCAGCGTCTTCGTGATGAATATGTGTTGGCGGGAGTTAGGGGCATATATCGTGGCGAAGGTGTAGATCTGCGAGTTGATGTGCCCTTTCACAAAAAGGTATCGTCCCTCCAGGTCCGTCTTTTGATCCAAGAGGTCGAACGGGGTCCCTTGCGAGGACAGTATTGCCACTCCGGCTTTCTTGCCCAGAGGGTGCGATGCGAAGTAGACACTAGGGAACCTCTTGTCTTTAAGGGCTTGTTCTGAGTCTAGCTTGAAGTGTGTATCCTGTATCGTTGCAACTGACGTCCAGTATGACCACAGTTCCCGCAGCAATCTGGTGCGGTGTTCGGGGATGTTGAAGCCCCGCGCGTTGAGTGTACGGACGTGTAGTGAGAGTGGTGTGAAGGCCGGGGGGGTCATGGTCCAAACCTGTGAAGCTGGGCTGGAGTAAGGAAGAGGGAGAGTAGACAAAGAGGGGAAAGAAGAGCTGGTAGAGAGAGAGTTGAAAGGAGGAAGCCCCCAAAGGAGGCAGGAAAGAAAGTACAATATTTACAAATGCAGTAGGCACTTAAGGTGCCCAATGGACCACACGTGTCTACCCGGTTCACCAGGGGCCACCAATAATAGGGTGGTGGCCCCAACAGTGCCCGTGCAGAGATTTGTCACTCCTCCCACGTTGGTGATCCCCAGGGATGCATGTCCCGGCGCCCATGCTATACCCCTTACTCAGTGTGTCTTATCCAAGCGTCAGGTGTTAGTCTCAACTGTGTCGGTTCAGTCTCCCGCCCCAGTACTCCCAGTCAGCGTGTAGCCCCCCGGTCCAGATGTCGTCTCCTCTTCATGTTGGCCTGTCCCTTAGGCTGCTGGGGCGCTAGCGCGGTCCCCCCCCCCCCCAACCAACCATCCCCCAGGGTATGTGTCGCTAAGAGGACCTAGCCCGCGGCTACCCAAGGCCGTCCCTGCATAGTGTGTTTCGGTATAGTGCAGCTGGGGCAGCGCCGTGTCGCGCCTCCCGCCGCAGCCAGGGAGGGTGCGCTATATTATATATTATAGGACGCAAGCCCTGACTCCCAAAGGCGGGGTAGGAGCCCAGTCTGGCCCGCGTCCCCCCCCCCTCCCCGGAAGCCCAGACGTGCCATTTGTAGTGTGGAACCACCCCTGTCTGTGGCCTGCTTTCAACGCGGCCCTGCTTTCAACTGAGCCAACTAGGGTGCACTGCTGTCTGGCATTGTGTGCAAACCCTGGACCCTGGAACATCGGGGTGGGGGGGGGGTAAGCAGCAGGAGAACAGAGCAGACCTAAGCTTGTAAATCAAATTGTAGTTGATGTGTATCGTACCCCCTGGAGCCGAGGGCCACGGGCGCCCCCCCGCGGGGCACGCAGGTCACCGTGGCTCATCCCTAGAGGTACCCCAGGGGTTGGCCCCGAGGGGCCAGCGGATCCATTTGCAGGTTGGGGCACAGACCCCTCGGTTGGCGCAGTCCCTGTAGCACCCAGATCCCTCCCTGTAGGCGAACCGCCTCCCCCACCCCAAGCCCAGTTCAGCCAATTCCAGAGTCTTAGCCCATCCAAAACAAGCAGTCCAGAACCCCCACCCAGCAGGATCATAGTGTGGCAAGGTCCCTGTTAGTGTCCCCATGGCAGGTCCCAGCTCTCCCATCTCGGGTTGCCACCAAGTTGCGTGTATGTAGGGGTCTGGGGGTATCAGCTGCACTGTATCTGATGATCAGAGAGTAGAATTGAATGTCACCAGTGTGGCAGCAGTTCCCTCTAAGACCTCCCTCTCCTCAAGGCACTCCCCCCAATCATCAACCCTGTAACTTGGTGGCTTGGTTCAGAGCTCCAGGGTGAATCTCAGCTCTCTCATTCCTCTGGTCTGTGTGGCATGGCGGTAGGAGGTGAGCGTGGCGCACAGAGCTGAAGGGGAAGCCCCATTGGTATGTCAGGTTGCAGCTGCGAAGGAGACTTGTGATAGGGCGTAGCGCTCGTCGGGCGTCCAGAGTGAGCGGGGACAGGTCTTGGTTTAAACTGACCGCTGCATTGCGGAATTGCCATACCTGGCGGTCTCTGGCCTGATGCATTATCCATTCTTTTTATTGGAACGAGTGTAAGCAGCACACGTCCTGGGGAGTGCCATCTGACCTGGTTTGGCGGAAAGCCCTGTGCGCGCGGTCCAGTTGGAAGGTCTCTGGGTCGTGATTTCCCAGGATAAAGTTGAAGAGTGCTTGCAGCGTGGCCTCTTGCGGTTCCCCCGCATGCTGTCCGGTAGGCCCCGGATCCTTATCTTGCACCTCCTGCCCCTATTGTCTAGGTCTTCTACCTGCCTCCTTACATCCAGCAGCATATCCCCCTGCCTTGTGGCTGCTAGTTCTGATGTCGCTGGGTGGAGGTGGTAGCTACAGCTTCAGTGTGGTCACCCTATCCTGGAGGACAGTGACATCCTGCCTGATTGCTGCTAGCTCTTCCCGGATTGTACCTTTAAGGGAGGCCTCCAGAGCCCCTGCGTCTGTTTTAGTGAACATCGCCTGCGAGATGGCACGCAGGTCCGCTCTCAGCTACGACATGAGGTAGGGTGAGGCTGCCTTCGCTGATCTCAGAGGGTCCCGGGCTGTCGGGCTCTGAGGACATTTCCACGAGGTGTGGGGCCGCGGTACACGTGAGCTCCGCCGGCGTGGTCAGGAACTCATCCATCGGGCCAACCCGGAAAGGTGTCGGTTGCTGGGGACAGGACTTTTTTGTGTGGCCCATCTGGACCGGGTAAGTAGCTTTTAGCAGCTGTTAACCCGGTATCAGGAGCCGAGGTCTCAGGCAGCCATCTTGACCGCGCGCCAAACCACGCCCCGTATATATATTTAAATTCTACGTGCATATTTATGTAATATTTTTTACATAATTAAGTAATTTTATTGATTGCAATTTGAGGGACCTGCCTGCCAACCCAGGCCGGAAGTCAAGAGAATTTAATTTGCTAGCACTGTATTTAACCTTGTAACTTTCGATGACACCCTAAAACCTGTACATGGGGGGTACTGTTTTACTTGGGAGACTTCGCTAAACACAAATATTAGTGTTTCAAAACAGTAAAACATATCACAGTGATGATTTTGTCAGTTAAAGTGAATTTTGTTTTGCATTTTTCAAACACAAACGGCACTTTCACTGATGATGATATTGTTGTGATATGTTTTACTGTTTTGTAACACTAATATTTGTGTTCAGCGAAGTCTCCCGAGTATAACAGTACCCCCCATGTCAGGTTTGTTTTTGAAAGTTACAGTATCACATTGAAATCTGCAAGATTGGTTATGTTGCCTTTGAGAGCATATGGTAGCCCAGGAATGAGGATTACCCCCATGATGGCATACCATTTGCAAAAGTAGACAACCCAAGGTATTGCAAATGAGGTATATTCAGTCCTTTTTAGTGGCCACAAACACTGGCCAAAGTTAGCGTTCATAGTAATAGTTTGCATTTTTAACACACAAACAAATATAAATGCTAACTTTGGCCAGTGTTTGTGACTAAGTGGCCACTAAAAAAGACTGGACATACACCATATTGAATACCCTGGGTTGTCTACTTTAAAAAATATGTACATGTAAGGTGTGATTTAGAGATGTATGACAGATAACAGCGTTACAATGTCACTAATGATACATTTTAAAATGATATATTTTGAAATAGAAATGTCCTACTTGTACTTATAGCCCTATAACTTGCAAAACAAAAGCTAAGAACATGTTAACATTGGGTATTTCTAAACTCAGGGCAAAATTTAGAAACTATTTAGCATGGGTGTTTTTGGGCGGTTGTAGATGCATTACAGATTTTGTGGGTCAAAGTTAGAAAAAGTGTGTTTTTAAAACATTTTCATCATATTTTATAACTTTTTTTTTTTTAGTATATTATATGATGAAAATAAAGGTATCTTTAGAAAGACCATTTAATGGCGAGAAAAACAGTATATAATGTGTGGGTACAGTAAATGAGTAAGAGCAAAATTACAGTTAAACACAAACGTCGCAGAAATGTAAAAACAGCCCTGGTCCTTAACGGTAAGAAAATTGAAAAACAGTCTGGTCACTAAGAGGTTAAAACGGGATTGTGTCCCCTTATTTATGACAGACTCTTAAATAAGTTAGAAGTAGATGCACTTGGTTTTCTTTTTTTCTTTTTATTTATACAAAGGGACACTATATTGCTCAAATAAAAAAAACAAAATCACTGTTTAGTATATATGCCTCCAATAAAAACATTCATAAATTTAATTCTGCATTTTTTCATTCGGTGTATATTTAAAACCAGCTTGCAAAAGCTGCAGACTTGTTGCATTCAGCTTTTGCAAGCTGTCCCCTTCTAACCCCGCCCAGACTTTTTGTGGCTGTCCAATCACAGACTTCCCAAAGCAGCTCAATGAAAAGTCTTTGCAAGGCAGGTGCTCTGGGCAATTGCTGCCTCTTGAGTTTAGCTCCACTGAGCTAACTCAACCAGGAAGTATCACAACCTGTTGTCCAGTTTCAGCAAGCTAACCTTCTTTTACGGGTCTGGAGTGTCCCTTTAATACATTTGCTCATTAACCTTTAAAGGAATGCCTGAGAACCATAACTACCACAGTCTGACATGTTTTTTGTGTGGTTTGGCAAACACGGGCATCCCGAAGAGCTTACAGCCTGGCCTCCCTGTTGGCTGTCTTCTAATGGGGAAGTTGTTTTGAACAGCAAAGATAGGCTTCAAGCACTGACCAGCCCAGAGAACTCCCCACCCAGAGTTGTATAGGCTACGTAGGGACTCCAATCTACATTAGCCAAGTGGCAGCAGAAAGACCATGCTGGGAATTTGTTTTATATAAAACAAACACTGAGTTGCAATTTTAGTTTCTCATTTTCCCTTGAGGAAGGCTTTTAGCTGAAACGTTGGGAGTTTTGGGTGACAGGTGAATACTGTCACTATCTACTTTAAATTTTTGTTAGAATAGATTTATTTTTGTAATAAGTTTACAAAATAATGTAAATTGTTGGATTGTTATACCCATAGTTTGTGCAATGTATGCAAAGTATGAAAATACCTTGTTTCTCTCTTTGTATAGATATTGCATATGCATTGATGCACTGGCTACAGATATACCTGTAAAACAATTTTATTTTATTTTTATTAATAAAGTTTTGCAATTGTTATGTTAATGTGTAACCCAAATTCTTTCCCATTTCCCATATTGACTTGATAGTTTTAGTTTCACGGTTTATTTAACACGCAACAGTTAATTTGTTTATACATTAATTAAAACACTATGACATTTGTACTGGACCTACCCACAGGCATGTCAGCTTTGTTTATGCTGGCACATTATTAGAGACTCAGAACTAAACATGGCTGTAAAATGATATTTATTTTTTAATGTTATAAATAGTTCTTACTTACTTAAGTCTGATTGAGCCATTCTGAGGTTTGCAGTGTGTAAAAATAAAGTCTATGCAGAGCAGAGATAGATGAGTAAACCGACTTGTTATATTAGTTGTGCAACTTTAAACTTTGTGGGTCAAATGCTATAAAAATATATATGATGGTTGCCTTTGTTTATATCTTCAAAGTGTTGCACCATAGCATCAAATTAACCAAGACAGCTTGATTTATTAGAATTTGCGTCACCATAACAACTTAATTGCCTAGTTTTTTTTATTACACTGCACTATAATGCTTTCCTTCAGGGGTTAAGGGGTTAAACCATTAACAAACAGTTTAACCCCAAACTCTGGAAGAGTCCGATTGCTCTGCCCCTCTACTTCTGATGAAGATCTGAGGCTACAATCAAGATGCCTCGGGCTGGGCACTGCTGATAGGCTTAGAGCATCAACTTACCAGCTTCACATTCAGAAACTAGTTCACATTCAGAAAGGTAAGTGGAAAAGATACAAACCTTTTTTCCATTACTTTTTTGAACTGGAGCTAGTGACAGGATGACACTCTAATGGGCGCATGTTCCTGATTGAAGCCTCAGACAAAGTATTGGGGTAAAGACTTTGGGGTCAAAGTGTTCATTAAGTTTTAATCTCTTAAGGTAAGACGGCATCGGTGACCTCCTTGCATCATGACATTGGGATGAAGTTGTAATGATATCCGAAGTTTTCTTTAAAAAAAATTATTGTTGGGAAGCAGTCACTTAAAAATGGTATTTAAGGTTATCTTATCCACTAAACAGGTGTAAAAATGCTCTGGCAAATAGCAAAACTCTCATGGAGATGAATTGAACTTGTATTTGTTAGATGGACTAAGCCACACACACACACAAACGCACAGAAAAATGAGCCAATTATGCCGTAAATCCTACGCCTGCTCTAGGCAGACGTAGGGTATTGCAAGTCCACTAAATCACTTCTGCTGCAGATGTCAAGCCTTCATTAAAGTGCAAAAATCTTCTAGAGTCTAAACACATGCACCAAATAGCTAATATAAATCACCCCTGAAACAACAATTTAAAACAAGCTCAAAGATATATGGGGTTATTCACAAGTCAGCGAACGGAAAATGATGGAGATTAGGTAATAACTGCAAAGCTGTGACAATAGCTGCATTTGTTTTTGTTTTTTTTGTTTTTTTTCTCAAGATCAGCTATGTTGGCATCAGTCTTGCCAATTGGCTTTTGCATCCTCTCCAAATGTGAATTTAGTGAGAAAACCCACTTGTCCATGATTAAGACTGAAAAAATGTACATGACATTGTAGTGGAACACACATTACCGACCTTAAATAAATCACATTCTATATGGGTGTTGAAATATGTTATTGTCTGAAGAAGCACATGTAACACACGATATGAAACTCCTATCACAATATTTACCTACTATAATATATCACATTATAAATTTCACTAATTCTTGCTAAATCATGATGGGAAGGAGTTCTATGGCCTAAATCCATTGCCACTCATATTTACATGCAAGAATCCCCCATTATAAGATTTCAATTGAGATATAAATTTCCCTGTATTTCCAAGTACGGCTTAGCAATATTACTTGTCCTAGTTACCGCATAGAAACATATTTCACAAGTAATATTCTCAGTGACTGAGCAATATCACGAGTGAATTTTAAAAGGGAAGAATCAATCTTAGATAAATTCTGGTGTTCTTAATAGGAAAAACTCTATATTAACCCTTCGTGTACCCATATCATCTGTAGCACGGATTGGCAACCTTCGGCACTCCAGATGTGGACTACGTTCCAAGCAATGCTTTGTCAGCATCACGGCTGTAAGAGCATTATGAGAGATGTAGTACAGAGCACCAGGAGTGCTAAAGTTTGTCTATGAAATAAATGATGCTGAGATATCAAGTTACAGAAGTTGTTGTTTTTTTTTAAATTTAATGCAGGACTAGTAAATTAAATCACTAGTTATCAAATGGATCTTTTAGAAGGAACGCATAACGTAGTCGTTTTCTAACTTACCCTGCTTTGCACTACAACATCAACATGTCTAGAACTACTACATGCAGAGTACATCTCTGTGCAACTTTGTTTAGGCTAAGCTGTGACTCATTAAGAAACACTCTAAATTGGATCTTGGAAGATGTGGAAATTTTCACTTTCATCCAATATTAACATCATAGCTTCAACAGGATTTCCTCACCAACAAATTAATATTAACACGTATAACATAAATACAAGTGAAAAGGTTAGAAGAGGAGTCAGAAAGAGA